TTGAGGCAGAGTCTCACTGTGTTGCCTGGGCTAGAGTGCCATGGCATCAGCCTAGCTCACAGCAACCTCAAACTCCTGGGCTCAAGCGATCCTTCTGCCTCAGCCTCCCGAGTAGCTGGGACTACAAGCATGTGCCACCATGCCCGCCTAATTTTTTCTATATATTTTTAGTTGGCCAATTAATTTCTTTCTATTTTTAATAGAGATGGAGTCTCGCTCTTGCTCAGGCTGGTTTTGAACTCCTGACCTCGAGCAATCCGCCCAACTCAGCCTCCCAGAGTGCTAGGATTACAGGCGTGAGCCACCACGCCCGGCCTATGTGTTAATTTTTTTTATGTAAGCCAGTACTCAAGAAATTCTGATATCTTTGTTATCATTCTAAACATACCATGTATGGATGATTCATAATTATTTTTAAAAGGGTTTTCAAATAATTATTTTAATAATTATAGCATATGATATAACTGCTTTTATTCTTCACTGAATTCCTAAACGGTCTTTTTACAACTGAGGAGGCTTTTTGTCCCTGCTGAGTTTTTGGTGTTTTCTTAAGAATGAATATGCTTAAGCCCCTTTAGGTTTGTTTGTTTGTTTTTGTTTTGTTTTGTTTTGATACAGATTTTCACTCTGTTGCCCTGGATAGAGTGCCATGGCGTCAGCCTAGCTCACAGCAACCTCACACTCCTGGGCCCAAGCAATCCTTCTGCCTCAGCCTCGGGACTATAGGCATGCGCCACCATGTGCAGCTCATTTTTTTATATATATGTATTTTTTAGTTGTCCAGCTAATTTCTGTTTTTTTTTTCCAGTAGAGATGGAGTCTCTTGCTCAGGTTGGTCTCCAACTCCTGAGGTCAAAGAATACTCCTGCCTTGGCCTCCCAGAGTGCTAGGATTACAGGCGTGAGCTGGCACGCCCGGCCTGTATTTGTTTATATTCTTACAGAAAATTAGAGTTTTTGAATTTAAAGGTGCATCTATATTTGTCAGTCATTAATAATAATGGATTCTACTTATTTTTTAAACAGCTTTACTGAGAGATAATTCACATACCATAAAGTTTACCCATTTAAAGTATAGAATCCAGTGATAATTTGTTTGTTTGTTTTGAGACAGAGTCTTGCTTTGTTGCCCAGGCTAGAGCGAGTGCCATGGCGTCAGCCTAGCTCACAGCAACCTCAAACTCCTGGGCTCAAGCAATCCTGCTGCCTCAGCCTTCCCAGTAGCTGGGACTACAGGATGCGCCACCATGCCCAGCTAATTTTCTAATATATATAGTTGGCCAATAATTTCTTTCTATTTATAGTAGAGATGGGTCTGCTCCTTGCTCGGCTGGGTTTTGAACTTCTGACCTTGAGCAATTCCACCCGCCGTGGGCTCCCAGAGTGCGTTATAGGATACAGGCGTGAGCCACTGGCGCCCAGCCTAATGATATTTTTAGCTTAAATTCACGAGTTGGTGCGAACCATTTACCAAGGTCTTAATTTTAGAACATTTTCATCAACCTAAAAAGAAAAATGCCTTTGCCCATCCCAGTTCAATTCCCAAATTTTCCCCCTTTCCCAAGTTCCCTAGGCAGCTAACGAATCTTACTTTTCTGATTCTATAGATTTGCCTATTAGGGACATCGTAAAAATGAAATTGTACAATTTGTGGTGTTTTGTGACTGGGTTCTTTCACTGAGCAAAATGTCAATAATTACTATGGATTTTACTCATTCCTTCTATGGCTGAATAATATTCTATTGTAACTGCACATGCCACATACAACTTCCAACATTTTAATCATCCATTTGTCATTGATGAACCATTTTGTGTTTCTACCATGTTTTATACTATTGCAAATATGCTGGGGTATAACAAATTCATAATATGAATTTGTTGTGGGACATACGCCTTCATTTTTTTCGGTAATATCTCCTAAAGCGTGGAATTGCTGGGTCCCATATGGGTAACTCTATGCTTAACATTTTGAGGCGCGCATCTGTCCAGGACACTGTTTTCACCAATTAGCTGCAGCGCATTTTCCCATTGCCCACACTATCAAGTTGTAACAAAGGTGTGCCAATCCTTATTCACGCTCCTTGGCCAAACACTCTGTTATTGCTGGGCAAGTATAGCATCTTCAGGTGGACGTGGTAAAGTGAATATATAACTTGTGGTTTATTTTCATAATGATTAATGATATTCAGCATCTTTTCATGTGCTTATTGGTCATTTGTATTTCTTTAGAGAAATGTCTGTTCTGATCCTTTGCTCATTTTTTAATTGGGTTATTTACACTATTTACATCCTTATTGAAGTTGTAAGAGTCTCCACCTATTTTTTTAAAGTAATTTTTTTTGAAGTATAAGTTACATTAAAAATTATCTTTTGTGTATAATTCCTTGCATTTTGGTTAATTGTATACACCTGTGTGTAACCACCACTACAATCAAAATATGAAAATCTTTGTCTTTCCCCCCAAATTTTTATGACCTTTTGTAGTCATTCTTCTCTTCCTATCTGCCACTCTCTGGCATATTGATGTGATTACTATCCCTATAATTGCCGTTCCCAAATGTCAAGGCAAATGGAATTTATATGTAGTCTTTTTATGTCTTGCTTAGCACAATGCTGTTAAATTCATTCATGTGTTTTCACGTATCAGTAATTTGTTCCTGATAACTACTGTTCTTGAAGAGTTACCATGTGCTAGGCACCTATCTTGAGTGTGCTTTATATTTATATTATTAAGCCTTAAACATCCTATAACATCCTATAAAAAGTATATATTCCTTTTAACAGATGAAGAAACTGAGACAAAGAGAGGTTTTATTAGCTTGCTCAAGGACATAGATGGCAAAACTGGAATGTGCACTTGGGTTTGTCTGACTCCAAAACCCCTGCTCTTAATGCTTTTTTTTTTTTTTTTTTGAGACAAGAGTCTCCCTGTGTTGCCCAGGCTAGAGTGAGTGCCGTGGCATCAGCCTAGCTCACAGCAACCTCAAACTCCTGGGCTTAAGCAATCCTTCTGCCTCAGCCTCCCGAGTAGCTGGGACTACAGGCATGAGCCATCATGCCCGGCTAATTTTTTCTATATATATTAGTTGGCCAAATTAGTTTTCTTTCTATTTTATAGTAGAGACAGGTCTCGCTCTTGCTCAGGCTGGTTTTGAACTCCTGACCTCGATCAATCCGCCCTGCCTCCCAGAGAGCTAGGATTACAGGCGTGAGCCACCGCGCCCGGCCAATCCTTTTAATATACTGACTGAATACTTCATTTGCATGTATTGGGCTTTTTGGGTTTGGGGGGTTGTGATACCTTTAGTATATCCATTTATTAATCTTAGTTTATAATAATGCTTATTAAAACTAAAAATCAGAAGTAGTTCATGATTCAGCAATAAGAATTGTGGTCATTCTCTTTTACTTGATAGAAATATTTATGTTTTGTTCTTTAAGTGTATTAGCCCTAACTCCAAAGTGATAGTACTATGGATTGTATGTGATTAAGAAATTATAACGACAACATGCTTGTGATAAAATATTTACAGTAAACAGAGTATAAAAGTAAATTTGCCCTTCCCCATTCTCCAGAAGTAACCATTGTTGTATATCTTTTTTTTTTCTTGAGACAGAGTCTCATTCTGTTGCCCTGGCTAGTGCTGTGGTGTCAGCCTAGCTCACAGCAACCTCAAACTCCTGAGCTCAAGCGATCCTGCTGCTTCAGCCTCCCGAGTAGCTGGGACTACAGGCATGTGCCACCATGCCTGGCTAATTTTTTTTTAATATATATATATATATTATATTATTTTTTTTTTAGTTGTACAGCTAATTTCTTTCTAATTTTTTAGTGGCGTTGGGGTCTCACTCTTGCTTAGGCTGGTCTTGAACTCCTGAGCTCAAACAATCCTCCCACCTTGGCCTCTCAGCGTGCTAGGATAACAGGCCTGAGCCACCTGCCCAGCCCATTGCTGTATATCTATATATCTTTTTTTTTTTTTTAGCCAGAGTCTCATTCTGTTGCCTGGGCTAGGGTGCCGTGGCATCAGCCTAGCTCACAGCAACCTAAAACTCCTGGGCTCAAGCAATCCTCCTGCCTCAGCCTCCCAAGTAGCTGGGACTACAGGCATGTGCCACCATGCCAGCTAATTTTTCTATATATTTTAGTTGGCCAATTAATTTCTTTCTATTTTTAGTAGAGATGGGGTCTTGCTCTTGCTCAGGCTGGTTTCGAACTCCTGACCTTGAGTGATCCTCCCGCCTCCCAGAGTGCTAGGATTACAGGCATGAGCCACCACGCCTGGCCCCATTATTGTGTATCTTGAGTATGCTTCCACAAAGCACATATACTTACAAGACTATAGATAAAGATTTTTTTCTTCCCTTCTTTACACTAATAGATTCATACTACACACATAGCCTTTTGCAACTTGCTTTTTATAATTAATAGTCTATATTGGACAGTTAGTAATGTAAAACTACCTCATTCTTTTTAAACATTGCATGGTATTTCAAAGTAGAGATGTACCATTATTTATTTAACCAGATGTCTGTTGGTGGATATTTAGGTTGCTTCTTTTTGCTATTATAATAAACATTCTTGTAGCAGGCATCATTATATATCTCTTAGTGAAATTATTGGGTCAAAGAGTATAAGTATTAAATATTTTGATAGATGTAGCTGATTAACTATCAAAAAAGTTTTATCTATTTACTTTTCTACCAAGAGTAGATGAGCATTCAGCCATGTATCTTAGACCTGGTTGACATAGTTACCTTGTATATTATAATTTCAATTGTATAGAATTTGGATTCAATTCATTTTCTGGTAAATTTCACAAGGTAGATCTGGAACTCAGTTTTACTGGGTTTAAGAGATTTGGGATGTAGCCCTGACATGGGTAGATGGGCCATTTGATGGTAGGGAAGCCTCATAGCTGATCAGTGCCTTTGTTTCTATTTATAAAAATTTTACAGGTAGGACGGGCATGGTGGTTCACTCCTGTAATCCTGACACTCTGGGAGGCGGGAGGATCACTCAAGGTCAGGAGTTTGAAACCAGCCTGAGCAAGAGCGAGACCCTGTCTCTACTAAAAATAGAAAGAAATTTATTGGCCAACTAAAAATTTGTATTAAAAAATATCTGGGCATGGTGGCGCATGCCTGTAGTCCCAGCTACTTGGGAGGCTGAGGCAGTAGGATTGCTTGAGCCCAGGAGTTTGAGGTTGCTGTGAGCTAGGCTAACTCCACAGCACTCTAGCCAGGGCAACAGAATGAGACTCTGTCTCAAAAAAAAAATGTTTTTTTACAGGTAGATGGAAAGAATAAGTTCTAACGTTTGATAGGAGAGTAGGGTGACTATAGTTAAGAACAATGGATTGTATATTTCAAAATAGCTAGAAGAGAGGACTTAAAATGTTCCTAACACACAGAATGATAAATGCTTGAGGTAATAGATATCCTCAGTACCCTGATTTTGTTTCCATTTTGTCCTATGCTTCCTATGGGGATGATGGGAAGATAAATGAGGTTATTTAGTTAAAGTGTTTTGTAACACTTTTACTAAAGAATTTATGCATTGACTTTCTTTAAAAGAAGAATGTTATATAAGCTGATTGTTATTTATACTCTTAGGTGTGTAGAAATGAAGGAAGTAGCTTTTCTTCCTTTGACTTCTTGGCAGAAGATGCCTCTACTTTAATAGTAGCACACTGGGATGGAAATATGTCACTGGTAGATAGACGGACACCGGGAACTTCTTATGAGAAACTTATCAATTCTTCTTTGACAAAAATAAGAACTATTCATGTCCACCCAGTACATAGACAGTATTTTATCACTGCAGGATTGAGGTATGTTCTTTGTAAAATTTTATGATTTATGTCTTTTAATGTCATGAATACTTGATTTAGTTGGATTGATAAAGATATTTGACCTTTGTGATACCCAAAGGGTAAATAATTTTCCTTTCTTTATTGGTAGAGGTTTTCTTGAGTGATTTTTTTTTTTTTGAAAATGAGAAATTCTTTTGGATTTAATAAGTAGTGAAAATACTGAAAGAAATACACATTTTTGTTTTCCTTGGCATTATATGAATTTACTTATAGTATGAGAAGAAAATTTAAAATTTTGAGGAAAAAAATTATATATGACTTGTTGATCTGTGTTAACTTTTTTCTTGGAATGATTAGAAAACCAACTAGAAACTTGTCTCTCTATACACACAAGTTACATATATCTTACGTAGTTCTGGGATTTTTCTAATAGTTTACTTTCTATCTATGCCAGTGTTTGTTAAATTAATACAGAGGATTAGAGATTCTGTCTTAAGTGTTCTTCAACGTAGCAAGTATTTAAGTGTATAACTTTTGTTCAGCCCTATTCTAGAGGGTCATTACATGTACAGGGGCAACATTGATAATTATTCCTTGCCTTTCAGGGATATTCATATTTATGATGCAAGGCGCCTGAATGCCAGGGGAAGCCAGCCTTTGATTTCTTTGACTGAACATACAAAGAGCATTGCTTCAGCCTATTTTTCACCTCTCACTGGTAACAGAGTTGTGACCACATGTGCTGATTGTAAGCTGAGGTAAATTGGGAAGACAGAAATAAGTTTTTAAGGAATCTATATAGTCTGTAGCTACTTTGTCAGTAAACCAAACGCGTTGTTTATTGCTGTTCCCTATTTGATCGCTAGTGTTAACTGTTTTGTGGCTGAATCTAGGTTCCCAAAGACCAATGACCTCTACTTAATGGCTTTTCAGCAGTTTTTGGGTCCTGGGAATTTCCTTGAGACTGGCAAAGAAGGTCTATAGTTACCCTGTGGAGTTGATGGTCAGGTTTCCTTTTCAGCACTGAAGAATCCAAGAAACCAGGCTGTTGGGTATCTTGGAAAGGAGATAATTTTAGCATCCTTTGGGGACAGTGGGGTCTACCCTACAAGTGACATGCTGAATGGAAATTGCAGAGCCCCAGACCATGAACAGGCAGAAAACAGCAAAAATTGGGCTTTGGGCTTCTGTGCAAACTATTGGATATAGTTTTATAGTCCTAGGGTTTTAACTTTGGTACCTTTCTGTAGCTACTTCCTAAAGATGGATTTAAAAATGTAATATATCCACCTCCAAGTTATAGCTAAATTTTAAAATTAAATATAAAACAATGTAATATGAACAAAATATGAACAATTTGAACCAATATGAACCATTTGAACAAAACTCAGAAGATAATGTTAGTAGAGAAAAATGTGGAGAATGTTAGTATAACCACAAAGGAAAATGATTTTGTTCTTTTTAGAATCCCCGATTTTGCTTAAAATTGCAAGTGCTTCTCAGTTTATGAGACTTTTACCTTAAATGATTTTGGAATTTATTCTTATTCATTCAGCAAATATCTACTGAGTATATACTGTGGGCCATGCTCCAGAATGATACCTAATTTCAGCTTGGACTCACCTATTGGGAAAAGCATGGCTTGCAGTACATGCCGGTGCCCAGTTAGTTTCTACAAAGTCTGTGACCATTACCAGGTGATGTAGTAAGAGAGTGAGTCACTGGAAATGGAATCCCAGTGTCCCCTTTCCAACCATGTAGTTTCCTTGTCCTAAGTGCTACCTATTTGTCCCATTCCTGTTCATTTACACTGCAAAGTTTTACTCTTATTACATTAACCATTAGTGTTTGGTTTTGTAGTAATGTAATTAGGCAACGAGCTCTAATGTCAAGAAACCACACTGGAATTGGTAGGCCCAAGGAGAAGGGGAGGTGGTGGTGATGTGGTTAGTTTCTTTCTGCTGGTGTACTCAGTGGAGGCTTCTGGATTCCTCTCCAGCTGCCCCACAAGGACTCCTTGGTTGCTGGTTGGTCTTTGTCTGGTCAGCACCTGGACATAACATGTCAAGCTCTCAACTGATGAGTCTTACAGAGAAATTGTTCTTGATATGTGCATATACTTGGAGATTATTTGTGCATTTTCAGACTATTATGTATATCCCGTATTGTGAATCTGAATGTACTTTTAGAGTCCAGATTATCACTTTAGAATGTACATTTCAAGTTTGGAGCAATAGTGTTTAAATAAATGATTTCTACACTAAACTATAAGCACTGAATTTTATAATATCCCTTGTCACTTTTAGTGTATTAGCTGAGGTTTGTTAGAGGCTGATCCTACATATTTTAAAATAACAATATATTTCATACCATGAACCAGTGAGAAGCGTATTAAGTACCATGATATTATTTCAGAAAAATTTTAAGAAATAGTAAAAAGAGTGTGTCAACTCTATTCTTGATCTTTATTTTGCAGAATCTTTGACAGCAGCTGTATATCCTCTCAGATTCCTCTCCTCACCACCATCAGGTAGGCTTTCATCTGCTGAATTATGTAGACTCTGGAATACTGTAAGCTATTTGTTGGAGTGCATACATTAGACATCTGATTGTCAAAGGGATTTAATAGGTCTCATTTTTGTATTACATTGTATCAGTGTCCCAGTTTGCTAGTTCCTATCCAGCAGGGTTCTTGCTTCTAGGTTCCCTGTGTCTATAAAGAGGTTCAATCTCTTTTAGTCAGTAGCTATTCTCTGCAGGTGAGAGGTTATTGTTGGTTAAGATTAATGACTTTATTCTGATCAGAATTATTCATGTTACCTTACTAAAGAAGACTGACTACTCAGTTGCTGATGAGGCTATGCTGTATTTATTTGTGCCTGTTTATTCTGAACTAGGAGGGCTTTCCCACCTTCCCACTTTATTTCTTTGATTATCCTCCCTCATCAACTACTTTGAATTTGTGTGTGTGTATTTTTTTTTTTTTTTTTGAGACAGAGTCTTGCTTTGTTGCCAAGGCTAGAGTGAGTGCTGTGGCATTAGCCTAGCTCATAGCAACCTCAAACTCCTGGGCTCAGGCGATCCTCCTGCCTCAGCTCCCAAGTAGCTGGGACTACAGGCATGCACCACCATGCCTGGCTAATAATAATATATATATATAATTATTGGCCAATTAATTTATTTCTATTGTAGTAGAGAGCAGGGTCCGTCTCTTGCTGAGGCTGGTTTCGAACTCCTGACCTCGAGCAATTCGCCCGCCTCGGCCTCCCAGAGTGCTAGGATTACAGGCGTGAGCCACCGCGCCTGGCTGTGTGTTGTATTTTACATCAAATTTTACTCAATGCCTTCTCCTAGATATCCCACTTTATCAGTATTTATGAAGTTGGGGACAGGGTGGTGGATATTGATTGTTGCTTCATGAGTTTTATAGTCTGTAGAGGCTATACGTGAATATGTTTATTCCTTTCTCAGAAGTTTTTTCCTCTACATTTCCTTTTCAAAGTTTATTTGTTCTAGTTTATCAGTTTCTTTTTTTTTTTTTTTTGAGACAGAGTCTCACCCTGTTGCCCAGGCTAGAGTGCCATGGCATCAGCCTAGCTCACAGCAACCTCAAACTCCTTGGCACAAGTGATCCTTCTGCCTCAGCCTCCCTAGTAGTTGGAACTACAGGCATGCGCCACCATGCCCAGCTAATTTTTTCTATATATTTTTAGTTGTTCAGCTAATGTCTTTCCATTTTTAGTAGAACAGGGTCTTACTCTTGCTCAAGCTGGTCTCGAACTCCTGAGCTCAAACAATCCTCCTGCCTCAGCCTCCCAAAGTGCTAGAATTACAGGTGTGAGACGTGGCACTCGGCCTCTAATCTATTTTGAATTAATTTTTGTATATGGTGTGAGATAGGTTTCTAATTTTGTTCTCATGAGGATATTAAGTTTTCCCACACCGTTTATTAAAGAGACTGTCCTTTCCCCATTGCATGTTCTTGGCACCTCTGTCAAAAATCAATTGACCCTAAATGCATGGCTTTATTTCTGGGCTCTATATTCTGTTCCATTGGTCTGTGTATCTGTTTTTATACATTATCACTCTGTTTTGGTTACTATGGCTTTGAATTGAAGTCAGGTAGTGTGATGTCTCTGGTGTTGTCTTTTTGCTCAAGATTGCTTTGACTATTTGGGGTCTTTTGTGGTTACACACAATTTTAGTATGTTTTTTCTATTTCTGTGAAAAATGTCATTGGCATTTTGATAGAGATTGCATTGAATCTGTAGATCACTTTAGTAATGGACATTTTTTTTTTTTTGAGACAGATCTCCCTTTGTTGCCCAGGCTAGAGTGCGCGTGGCGTCAGCCTAGCTCACAGCAACCTCAAACTCCTGGCTCAAGTGATCTTCTGCCTCAGCCTCCCGGGTAGCTGGGACTACAGGCATGCGCCACCATGCCCGCTAATTTTTTATATATAACAGTTGGCCAATTAATTTCTTTCTATTTATAGTAGAGACGGGTCTCGCTCTTGCTCAGGCTGGTTTTGAACTCCTGACCTTGAGCAATCCGCCCGCCTCGGCCTCCCAAGAGCTAGGATTACAGGCGTGAGCCACAGCGCGGCCCAGTATGGACATTTAAAACAACATTAAATCTTCAATTGAGTAACATAGGATATATTGCATTTATTTGTGTCTTCCTTCAATTTTTATCAATGTTTACAGTTTTCAAAGTAAAGGTCTTTACCTCCTTGGTAAATTTATTTCTAAGTATTTTTTTTTTGTATATTAAAATGGGTTTGTTTCTTGATTTTCTTTTTGGGGTAGTTTGTGTATAGATATGTGCTGATTTTATTTTTTTTATTTTTAATTTTTTTTTTTTCTTTATGGACCATCTGCAGGATATGCTGCTGATTTTTGTAAGTTGATTTGTATGCTGCCAGTTTATCAATTTATTTATTAGTTCTAACAGATTTTGGGTGTGTCTTTAGGTTTCTTATATAAATCATGTTGTCTGCAAGTGGACATATTAAATTTCTTCTTTCTATTGATGCTTTATATTTCTCTTGTCTAATTGCTCTGACTAGGACTTACAGTAGTATGTTGAAAAGAAGTGGCAAGAGTGCGCATCCTTGTTTCTTTTATTTTTAATCATACCATTGCGGTTGAATCCTTATCTTGTTTCTGATCTTAGGAGAACTTTTCACCATTCAGTATGATGTTAACTGTGAGCTTTTCATATATGGCCTTTAGTGTTGTTTACATAGTTC